TTAGCAAAACACAGATCACTGAGGAATTGCACACCAATGTTTTCCGTTTTTCTTTTCAATCCACAACTTGTCTGACACATTCCCTTATAACAGTCAATGATTTCACACGGTCCATTTTTTGACAAAACGGCGTTTTGTTTGACTTATAGGAGTCTAAATAGAACTGCATATCATTCATTTGGATCAATTATTTCTCCCTGTCTTGCAGTATGAAACACCCATTGAACATGGTTTGCCACGATTGAAGCGTATCAAGTTGGAATTCGTTTGATTTCTCCCCACTGATCATCCGAACTAAACTTATTCTTCGAATAGAAGGAAGCTATCTGGTATGACTCACGGTCCGCTAATGCACCTGAGGTATCACGCCCAGGTCCGGTCATATCATTACAGGCAAGATATTTTCTGAACAAGCGTCATTGTCGGAACATTCTACTTTTGCTACGCACGATGTGTTGTGTCCCGGTGCAGTTTCAAATTTACCTACTAATTAAATGAACCATAAATGTTCATTGATGGGGACCATAAATTTTCGCTTCTTTAATTAGATAGGGTGCGTTGGTTATCATTTCAGATCATGAGACTTCTCGCTAGTGATCAACTCTCGGAATGACGTTATGTTTGAATTCCAGCTTGTTTAACAACGTAATACTGCTCTGGATTTTTCGTTTCGCTTGCGTTAATATATCCTGAAAATGAAAAAAAGTTTATGTTTGCTATTTCTCCGAATTCGCCTTAAGTGATCTTCTATTCTCTATTCGTTTATCTCAGGGGAGATTGTCAAAAACCAAGTTTGCGTCGAGTGCCGATTGTTCGACTCTTTTTCCTGCCTTACGCAGTATTTCAATGGTCCCGATGGGCAGGAAGATGGGTTATGGATTATTGGATCCTTCGAAAACCGTATGACGATGATGCCAAAGAATATCTGACCCGACGACGATTGGGTATGAATGCTGACCAATGGGACGGTTTAGATGAAGCGCGCAAACAGTTCTACCTCCGACTAGCTTTGTGGGATCCCGCCAACTTCAAGGTCAGTAACGCTGATGCATACTGCTGTTCATGTTGGTTGTTGTTCGCTCGTCCAAGATAATACTGTTGTAAGGCGTTCTGGTCAATGAGATCAACTCACGACACAGATCAATCATCTCTGGACAAAACTAATCAAACTGTTATACGTAGTCAACTTTCCATATTGTATTAGGTAAATGCTAAACCGCAATTGTTTTAACTGCTGTACTGACTCTAGACGCCTTCCGCTTACATTATGATAACTCGGTTTCACGGATGAATCCATGAGGAAGTTTAGGAGAATAGAACAAGGTGATATCCCTAGTGCCACTCCACCCCTTTCTTCGAGGTGCGTCTTCATAGCTGACACGTGTAGGACATTGGGCTGATAGCAATTATTTTATTCTGACCAGATTTGCGCCCATAACAATAGTGTCCATGGTTAATCTTGCCTTTCTGTTGCAAAGAGATCGCTTGCCAGGCGAACACTTGCCACGTACTCAGATTGGGTCACTGATTGTACGTGACTGCATATTTAGTGTCACATTGTCCACGCATTTATAGTCTACCGCCGAATTAACCGTTCTCGTATCAGCGCACCGAGGACGTGCCACGATACAGTTATGCTAAGCGTAGATCTATGCTGGTCTCCGGGATTGCTCCAATTACCGGACAGCAAGGCAAATTGTCCCAAAACAACCTTTGTAGCGATCCGATTTTGTCACTAATTTATTTTCTTCGTTGTTTAGAGACGGCGAATTTCATTTGCTCTCTACAGTCGTTATTGCACAAATCAGTCTGGTAAAGAACAGTGAGTTAATGGACACCCCCCTGACCCACCATTATTGTGTCGTTTAACCCAATGGTTTTACCAAAACTATCTTGTATGGTACCAAATTATCTTACTCCGTAGCGACTAAGGCGATCAAATTACATGTCAGCATCTTGCAGTACGTGTGTTCTTTCAGTTTTAACGAATTGGACAAAGAGGACTGAATATCTCATTTTCTTTCGGTTTTCAATACTCTCTTGGGTTCCACTTTCTGATCTAAAGTGTTTTTTTTCTGTCAGCTTTATCGCAACTAACCAAAACCCGATGCTTAATAATGTTACAGGTGGTAAGCAGCCAGGAAAACCATGGTTCATCAATTCATGCTAAACAATTGAATCTGGAGGGGTAGGCTTGATTGTGTAGACTGACACAGAGATCAGTCAGCGGGCATGTTTTGCGCGTGCGATGAATACACCGATGATCCATGTCTTGTGTGTCCTCGGAGACGTAGATCCAGTACTTTGGCATGCAAAATGTTCTACTTCTTTTCTTTCTTCGACATACTCCTTTCTCATACCAGGAGTTTGTTTAACCAGTCAGTTTGGCGTAAGAATAACATTAAAGGGTAAAACTGAATCATCGCTCATGTTCGTATTCCTACGGTCAATCTTCGGAACGTGGGTAGTGTTTGAGCGGGAAGTTTCATCACACCGAGGTGCGAATTTCGATTGCGTTCATGAAAAGTGCAAGGTAGAGTTTGAGTCTGATATATTCCGAACTGATTTTCACAATATATCGTACTCACTGACAGTCAGTTAATAGCAGTCGACTGTTGTTTTTTCGCAGCTGGTTTTATCGTTAGGCAATGTGTTTACATGCGGTCAGATTGTCTTCTTTCCGTCGGTCACGTTGGTTTCTGTAGTCTTCTATTCCGTGAATAGATCTTGTCCCTATCTACCTGCACGTGCACATATTAAACATTTTCATACATTGTAAGATTGATAGGAGTCAGCGATGTCTTCCTCGACACCTATTGCATCTACTGCCCCGACTACACTAAGTCCGTTCGTTTCGGTTCCGGCTACTGTTCGGTAATATTCACAGCTTCACTAACACGATGTTACACACTTGTTTGGTATACTGCTTCCCTCTCAGGAGTTCTTTTTTACACACACTCAAATTCCATTCTCCCTTTGTGCCCTCTTGGTTTTAACGGATCGATCGATCGATATACTGTTTTGTTTATTTGAGAACGACAAACAGAGGACTCATTTTTTGCAATGGTGCCAAATCTGTTTTTGTTTTGGAGTTATTGTGCGCCCTCAGGCTGGGCGGGGGAAACCTACACAATATTGAGCAATGCAAGTAAAATCTTCTCACCGCATGTCTCTGATCCACTGGATTGTGTTCTCTTCATACTGATACATTGATGGTAAGAAGTAAGTGAGATTCATTCATTAGTCTTTCCTCTCCTCTCTCTCTCTCTGGTCGGTCTTCTTTGGAAGCGCCGAAAAGACTTCGTTTCTCATATTGCCTCTCATGGATCACTTGGTTAAGTGAATTGTTGGTTTTTATTAGTCAGATGAATTTTCATTTACATGAGATAGAAATGTTTGTGATAACCAACGAAAAGCACTGTACAGCTGTCTCGTCCTGTTTTGGACTCGTCAGTAGTGCGTACTTTTTATGTCCCTGTCAGGACTCGAACCGCGAACATTCGGGTCAGGACTTCAAACCCATACCCCTGAGCTACACGGTCGACGGTCATCACCTTGTACGAATGGATCAATCAAGTTAGAGTATCAAGCTTGGATTAGCCCATTCGATCGTTCAGAGGTACCAGGCACATAAGCTGCACTGGACGAAAGACGACCGCACATCAACTGAACCAGGCATACTACACAAATGTGTCCTGATTGAATACTTGTCGGGGGCCACAACACACATAAGGCACAGCACTTAGAGCTTAGATAATCTCTCTTTTTCACCTTATCAATTTTTTTTCGTGAAACCCCTAACCAGAATGGAGTTTTCGTGACTCACTGGCTATCTTCCAGTGAACCATTTAGCGAATAAATGCACGAAAGATTTAAACGGTATGCACAAAACGTTTTAGTAAAAGTGACTGGTGAACATCAATACATGCATATGCACGTTTGTTTACAACACCACCTAATCATCTGGTGGCTTCTGTCCGTAAATCCAAAGGGGTCACTGTGATGTTCATGCATTGGCAGCAGACTGATATCTTGTACACTCACTGCTGAAGATTTTGAATCGTACAAGATTTATGGAACCCATCTCCCTCCCCTCAAAACTTCAAAAGAAATTAAACCAGTCCTGAACAAACGAAACGCTTATCAGACGTTTCAACATTGCTGCTTATCCTGTGAAAATTAGGTTGCACTCGTAACCCCAATTATTGTTCACATACTCCATAGGACGATTTTTGTCGTATACAGAAATGTCAGTGTTGTTCTCTCACTGACAAAAGATAAAAAGCACACAAGTGTCAGCAAGTAACTGTTGTCAGAAGGCTTTCCTCTCGAATCAAACCGGTTATCAAAAGTTTGAATGCTTTATTCGTAAGATAACTTGTTTGACTCTGAGGTGGATGGCATTTATGGCAACGAATCAGGCAGCATGGACGAAAACAACTATCAACAGAAAAAACTGTTGCTGCGGATTGCTCCAGTGCTACATTTACTCGTCTTGCTATCCACTTCCTGTCCTCGTAACCCTCCGACTACTCCTCTGTCATGAACCCATTTTCCCTTTTGAAAGTTGATTTGATCTTGTTGGGGCTATAAAATCTATATAGGCCCAGATGTCGTATGCCTAAACAGGGCACTGGTTGTTTCACAGTGATGTTCATGTCCCTTACTAGTGATTCTAAATACGCGTATTCAATCCCTCATCCGTAGAGACTTCACTTCTCATTTCTAAATTCACCTCATCTAATATTTTATTTAAACGCTTTTGTCCCATTACAATTACTTTCTCTGGGCTTAAACTTACAGAGCGTGCTATTCTCACCCGTTTGCGATTTTGTATTAGCAGTCTTATTGACCACATAAGCCACATACATTCATGCTATACCCTGTCTATTCACTAATACACTTCATTTTTAAGTCCGTTTTTTGCGTTTTCCTCTATTCTTCAGTTTTTGAATCCTTTGCATGATTCATTCTTCTCCAAAAGTTACAGTCATTTGATTGTCTCATGTTATTTTCATGTTTGAGAGACTCGAGAGGGAGTCAGCCAACAAACCCAACCGGAACGGTTTTGAAATCTGTACTCAATAATTTTGGAAGCCTTCTATCTGTTGTGCTTTCTCCATAGTTATTTTCGGCATTTATCACTGGTCTATACTATCTCCCTCCTGTCAGGATCTTTAAATATTCTCATGTGGTTCTGTCATGTCATTTCAAACCTTTCCAACATAACCTCATGTTATAACGAGCTATCACAAGTGTGAACTTCGCAGTTTATTGTGGCCTCATAATGTTACAAATCTTTTTTCGTATTTCGTGGTCAGAGTTCTCGTTAGAAGTCCCCGATCATCTCCCCAGTAACCATAACATGCCACTAAGTACCTAAGTGGTGTTGGCGCAGTGGTTTAGTCGCTGTTACCGGCACGCTTTGGACCCTATGGTCCGGTGTTCGAACCCAGCCACCGCCACCCAACTTTGGTGGCAGGCAGCTTTGCTGTCGTCCGGTTCAATACAACGTCTAACCTAGTGGGGCCTTAGGTAGTTGACCACTCCAAGTCTTCGCGGCTAAGGGATTTACCCCGTCTGCTGTTCATCACACTAATTTGTGTTATAAAAATGAGTTACTTTATAGTACAGTTCACTGTGGTCCACCCTGGCACGCGACTTCTATCCTCCTGAGACAACTTTATGTGAAGCAGTCAATTGTTTGTCTGCTTGTTTATCAGCACATTCTGTCATACTTTATTGCTTCCTTGAGAATTTCCCTGGTTTACTCAAAAGGACTGTATTATTCTTCGCTGCTGCACTGCACTTATCAACCCTGTTTATTTTATTGTCAGAGCAAATCTGATAACAAAACTGTGATTTTCACATTCCTTCTTGTGTGGGCTCCTTACGACCCCAGCCATTCACCCAATCCCAATCTATCCAATTACCGTCCCCATGCTACAACCAGATCCAACTGTGGCCGTTTAGCATCGCATGTAAACGTCTATCGTGATTCAACAGTACCCTATTTGAATTGCATTCTAACTA